TTTCCCTCTTCCTTTCCTCCTTCCTTCTCTCCGTTCCCTCCTTCCTTCCCTCCTTTCTTCTCTTCTTCCTTCCTTCCCTCCTTCCTTCCCTCCTTTCTTCTCTTCTTCCTTCCTTCCCTCCTTCCTTCCCTCCCTCCTTCCCTCCCTCCTTCCTACCCCCTTCTTCTTGAGCCTTGAGTCTTTATGCAGCCACAAGGGACATTAAGCCTGATCCTCCTTAACTCCCACTATAGCTTATCTGTTTGTTCCCAAGGCAAGATTCTTGTCCTAGGGGCAGAAGGCAATAAAGTTGCAGGTTTTGACTTGCCAGAGTGGCTCCGAACAGGCTAACCCCCCCCCCCCTCGGCTCACCTGATCGTGCCCATCCCGTGCCAAGGCGAGCTCCTGTTCTACCTCCCCAACGTGGCTGGTGGCCTTGGCCACTTCCGCCCTCTCCATATCTCGTTCGGCCAGGAGCTGTTCGATGTGCTGCTGCTTCTCCTTCAATGCCTCTTGCAAGGCGGTAGTGCCCGAGATCTTCCGGGCGTACCGAGAGGACGTCTCTGTCAACTACAAGAACGAGAGAGGGATTTTGAATAGCCCAGCCAGTGCTGGAATGGTCCAAAAAGACACACCGGTGTTGCGAACACCACCGGCGTCTCGAGTTTTGGATTGAATCGGTGCAGCTTTGCAGGTGTTCGCCAAGGTTCCACCACAAATGCGCAAACGACAAAAGCGCGTCTGACTAAACCGCGGTGACAAAACCACGCCGACGAATGAGCGCGCCGACAACAGCGTGCCGACAGAAGCGCGCTGTAACCTAACCCTAAAAATAACCCTAAACCTAACCCTAAACCTAACCCTTACCTTAACTTAAATTGCGCTTCTGTCGGCACGCTGTTGTCAGCGCGCTTTTGACATCGCGGTTTTAGCGCCGCGGTTTTGTCGGCGCACTTTTGACGTTCGCGCTTTTGTCGGGTCACAGCTGGCCAGCAGATCTGCCCAGGTAGGAGCAAATATTCAGCAGGGAAATACAGAATATTTGTATTTTAGGATTGAAATGAAGGGGTCCTTGCTTCTCTCTGAGCTTGGTGGTTCTCTTGTAGATGCTTCATCACTCAACTAGGTCACAGCTTCAGTGCCACTGTCCTAGCACTGATGATGCTAACTAGCTGGGCCATGAAACGTCTTTTTCCTGACCTAATCTTCCCCCAAAAGTACGAAGCAGATTCCTGGCCCCCCGACAAATCCCCTTTTATTAAAACGAATGTGAATTCCTCTCCTTCACCTTCAGGCAAAGGCCTGGCAAACAATCTTTTCAAAGGTGTATTTATGATCACAGACCTTATCTAGCTTGGTGTGAACTTCGGGGCATAAGCTGTAGAACAATCCCATATTATTATACAAAGTGGAGAATTACCGTATTTTTTTGGTAAATTTCAATAAATTTTTTGCACTTTGCAGACCTCCCAAAAACGGCCTGTTTTTTGTGAAAACGGGCTTTATTTTTGTCAAAAAAAAGGGCATGCATAGCCTTTAGGAGGCTTATAGAGTGGTCCTGGGGGCTGGGGAGGGGCAAGAATGAGCAAAAACCAGCCTGTTTTTCACAAAAACGGGCTCGTTTTTTTTTTGGTCAATAAAAAGGGCATGAATAGCCTTTAGGAGCCTTATAGAGTGGTCCTGGGGGCTGCCGGGGGCAAAAACGAGCAAAAAACGGTCCATTTTTCACTCATTTTTGTCCTCCCCAGCCCCCAGGAGCACTCTGGAAGCCTCTTAAAGCCTATACATGGCCATTTTTGCAAAGGGTTAGGGTTTAGGGGTTTCGGGAGGTCAAAAATGCTGTATTCAGTGTATAAGACGCACCCAGATTTTCACCCTGTTTTTTGAGGGAAAAAGGTGCGTTTTATACTCCGAAAAATACGGTATGCGTTACGGTAAGTAGTGGCTAAAGAAGATTGGCCATCAGCTGTCCCCAAACAGAGCTTTTTCAAGAGGCAACTGGGTTTTCTTATCTTCCCTTGAAGATGTTTTCGCTTCTCATCCAAGAAGCTTCTTCGGCTCTGCCACTTCAGCTCCACACACCATCAGCTGTGTGTTTCTCAACCGGGGCCTTTTTTAAGAGGCACGGACTTCCGCTCCCAGAATTCCCCACGGCTGGGGAATCCCGCGTCAGGGTAATGATTGACCCCAGCTGCTATGATGATGTAATGCTAGGAATGAGTCAGCAAGGTTTTTGGGCTGATATCACTTTAAGAGTCTGTAATAAGAAGAGGCCCTGTTGGGGTGTATCCCTCTGTGTGTGCCGTAATTGCTGTTTGTTTGAGGTCTGACTAAAGTACGTGTATGTATATATTCTTTGTTGATAAAAGCCACTATTTAAATACAAACCTCTGTTTTTATTGTATTTGCTCCTGGGCTGTCTCACATACTCACACTGTGCGCACTCTGACATCCTGGGAGTTCAAGTCCGTGCCTCTTAAAATCCGTGAAACACCGAGCTAACCGAATGTGCACACACCCCCATTTTAGGAAAAACCTAACTTTGCTTCCGTGCTACGTATTTCCACCCTCCTAGTAGTCAAGAAAGGAAGGGAACATACCTGCATAGCGAGACTCTTAATGCAGCATTCGGGAGAATAGGAAACAGAAGAGTTCAAAGAGAAACAGAGGGTAGCTGGCCTCAACCCTAAGCGGAAGGAGCCTAGAGCAGATTAGCCGGTTAAGCTGCTAAGCATTCTCTGGCCAGGGTTTTCTTGCTAGACATAAAAACCATCCTTCAGTTAAACCCAAGAATTTGCTCTCTTATCCGAGCCGCAACCTGGGATCACATGCAGCAAACATCACGGGGGCCTTGCCAAATTTGGCAGAAGAAGCTAGCCACCCCCGGCTTGCAAATTCCCAATTCTAAGCCCTCACTCGATGGGGTAGCGCTGCAAATTTTCCTGCAGGTGATTCAAGATTTGGCCATTTAAGTATTAATATACGGTGAGTACGAAGTTAATAAAAGGTACAATTTGCCAAGGCGACCAGGGGATTCTCAGATACGTTTGTGGTTCGCGACTCAAGAGAGTAAAGAAAGAGGCTCTTTTTTGGTGTAAGGCATTCCTCCCGTTTAGATAATACAGGAAATCCTCGACTTACGACAGTTTGTTTTTAGTGACCTCTCAAAGTTACAACGGCACTGGAACAAGTCACTTACGACCGTTTCCCCATACTTATGTCCGTGGCAGTGTTCCCTGAAGCCCCCTGGTCAAAATTTAGACCCTTGGCAGCCGACTCGTATTTATGACGGCCCCAGGGTCAGTGTTCCCCCTTTGAGACCTTCTGATAAGCCAAGTCCACGGGGAAGCCCGATTCGCTTAACAACCGGGTTACTAACTTAACGACTGCAGCGATTCACTTGACAATCCTGTCGAGGGAGACCGTAAAGCGGAGCGAAATTCACTTAAGCAACTGTCTTTGCTAAGACATTTCCGGTTCAGTTGTCGTCGTATCTCGAGGTGTACCTGTCCATCGGTCAGGTGAATTTAATCACGTTTCTGGAGCAAAAAAACCCTACTAATGCTCAAAATCAGCATGTGGATATAAAAAAATTAAAGCTACCATCACTTCCCTCTCTTCCTTAAGCGTGCATACTGTGTAGTTGCATTTTTGTCTTCAATCGACAGAAAAATGTGAACCCACATTGAAGTTTGAAAAGAGCAACCTCCTGCAGCTTTATTCGGTCTCCCTGTATACTTAAAAAAAAGCCCAGTGGTTTCAGTCGGATGCCTTTTTCAATTCAGGGCTTTCGGATTTGACACCCTTTTTAACGTACGAAGAATACCTCCCCAGGTGTGCACACACCTGCATATACATATTTCTTGCAAATGTATTATTGCAGATATACCTATGTCTCAGGGGTGAAATTCAGCAGGTTCTGACAGGTTCTGGAGAACCGGTAACATAAATCTTGAGTAGTTCGGAGAATGAGTAGCGGAAATGTTGAGTAGTTCGGAGAATGAGTAGCGGAAATGTTGAGTAGTTTGGAGAATGAGTAGCAGAAATGTTGAGTAGTTCGGAGAATGAGTAGCAGAAATGTTGAGTAGTTTGAAGAATGAGTAGCAGAAATGTTGAGTAGTTCGGAGAATGAGTAGCAGAAATGTTGAGTAGCTTGGAGAATGAGTAGCAGAAATTTTGAGTAGTTTAGAGAATGAGTAGCAGAAATTTTGAGTAGTTTGGAGAATGAGTAGCGGAAATTTTGAGTAGTTTAGAGAATGAGTAGAAGAAATGTTGAGTAGCTTGGAGAATGAGTAGCGGAAATTTTGAGTAGTTTGGAGAATGAGTAGCAGAAATTTTGAGTAGTTTGGAGAATGAGTAGCGGAAATTTTGAGTAGTTTAGAGAATGAGTAGAAGAAATGTTGAGTAGCTTGGAGAATGAGTAGCGGAAATTTTGAGTAGTTCGGAGAATGAGTAGTAGAAATTTTGAGTAGTTTGGAGAATGAGTAGCGGAAAGTTTGAGTAGTTCGGAGAATGAGTAGCGGAAATTTTGAGTAGTTCGGAGAATGAGTAGCGGAAATCTTGAGTAGTTTGGAGAATGAGTAGCAGAAATGTTGAGTAGTTTTAAGAATGAGTAGCGGAAATTTTGAGTAGTTCGGAGAATGAGTAGCGGAAATCTTGAGTAGTTTGGAGAATGAGTAGCAGAAATGTTGAGTAGTTTTAAGAATGAGTAGCGGAAATTTTGAGTAGTTTGGAGAATGAGTAGCAGAAATTTTGAGTAGTTTGGAGAATGAGTAGCAGAAATTTTGAGTAGTTTGGAGAATAAGTAGCGGAAATTTTGAGTAGTTTGGAGGACCGGCAAATGCCACCTCTGGCTGGCCCCAGAATGGGGTGGGAATGGGGATTCTGCAATACCCTTCCCCTGCCACGCCGGGCAAGCCACACCCATAGAACCGGTAGTAAAAAAAAACCTGAATTTCACCACTGCTGTGTCTCTATGCGTTGGCATGCAGAAATATTATTCTATGCGTGTGGCAGATTGCAAGCCAGATCCCTTTCGCTTAACCAAACCAAAACATAACCTCTCTCTTGTTTTTTTTTTTAAACAAAAAAAACGTGGTTAGTTTGGATTAAAGGTTAGGATAACGGCTTAAACAGAAATGCTTCTATTGCACAGGGCTAGCCAAGTTGCTTTTTCATGCATGCTTTGAGACAGCGGCACCGTTAGGAGGCGAACGAGCAGCGCAAAACGGCCAAAACGAGCAGCGCAAATGCGTGTGCGCGAGACCCACAAAAGGGGCCCCCCGGCTCCGGCGTTGTCGAGCACGCAATACGAAAAGAAACTTACTAGTCCCGCGCGGCTGGGCTTGCCGCTTACGGAAGAGGCCACCGAGCTCAGAGAGCTGAGGGATGAGGCGCTGGGGCTGCGTTTCAGGCTGGTGGGCGTGGGGAGGACTTTCCGGACGGCGGGCTTGGCTTTGGCCGGAGTGGTGGACGGGAAACCGATCTTGGTCACTTTGTGCACCGGAGCAAAGAGGCCGTATTTGGACTGGCATTGGAAGTACCTGAAGCGGAGAGGAGGCGAGACACCAATCACGAAAACGGCCCGCAGAGAAAACTCGGGACGGCGACAAACCGACATTAACCCCGGCTTTAGACTGAGGCATCGATGCTTTGCGTCGGAAGGAGAGACGTCTTAGCGCAGAGTTTCTCAATCTTGGCGGCTTTAAGTCCTGTGGACTTCAACTCCTAGAATCCCCCAGCCAGCACAGCTGGCTGGGGGATTCTGGGAGTTGAAGTCCACAAGACTTAAAGTCGCCAAGATTGAGAAACACTGTCTTAGCGAATTATAAGCCTACTTGAACAAAAGGGTAGGGTTATTTATGGATTATCATCCCCGCCGTGTTTGATATCTGTCCGTTTGTGGGAGATTTAGTAAAGAGGCTTTGGTTTATAATAGTTTTGCGGACTTTTAACTCGCAGAATCAAAAGTGTGGACTTCAACTCCCAGGTTTTGTAAAGTTTGTAGTAGTTTTATGGACTTCAACGCCCAGAATTCACCAGCCAGCCATGCTGGTTGGGGAATTGTGGGAATTGAAGTCCATTTGTCTTCAAGTTGCCATGTTTAAAAAAAACACCATCTCTGGGAGATGAAGTCCACTTTTTCAAGGTTTCAAGGTTGAGAAAAACCGCTTTATGTTACGGAAACGGAATTTTGGGGGGTGTCTATGCAAATCAGACAATCCAGAAAACGAGATTGGTACCGTCTTTTTCAGGGATTTCCCATGTCTGATAAGTATTTTTTCTTTGTGCTATAACCAAAAACTCCAGAGGTATTTTCTCACCGTCGACCTTTTTCACGATCCTCCTGCTTCGGATAAGAGGAGGCGGAAACCCCCGAAGAGGAACCGGGAGATAGTCCCCTCCCCAAAAATGAAGTCCAATGAAACCGAGAATGGGAACGCAGTGAGGGAGGGCTGATCTGGAAGCAGCCTATCCCGATTCTCAGCCGGACGGGATCTTACCTTGTTCCAGCAACGGCGCCATCGTTCTTGCCCAGGGGTTCGTCCAATTCAACGCCGCACCACTCCCCCTTGGCGAAATCCGTCTCCCCCAAAAAACGCACCACGCCGGCTTTCGTTCCCCCCACCTGGAAAGAAAGAAAGAAAGAAAGAGAGAGAGAGAGAAAGAAAGAGAGCAAGAGTGATAGAAAGGAAGAAAGGAGAGAAAAGAGACAGAGAAAAGAGACAGAAAAAGGAAAGAAAGAAAGAAAGAAAGAGAGAGAGAAAGAAAGAGAGAAAGAGTGATAGGAAGGAAGGAAGAAAGGAGAGAAAAGAGAGAGAGAAAAGAGACAGAAAGAGAAGGAAAGAAAGAAAGAAAGAAAGAAAGAAAGAAAGAGAGAAAGAAAGAGAACAAGAGTGATAGAAAGGAAGGAAGAAAGGAGAGAAAAGAGAGAGAAAAGAGACAGAAAGAGAAGGAAGGAAAGAACGAAAGAAAGGAAGAAAGAAAGAGAGAAAGAAAGAGAGCAAGAGTGATAGAAAGGAAGGAAGAAAGGAGAGAAAAGAGAGAAAAGAGACAGAAAGAGAAAGAAGGAAAGAAAGAAAGAAAGAAAGAGGAGAGAGAGAAGAGAGACAGAGAAAAAGAGAAAGAAAGAAAAAGAGATAGAGAAAGAATGAAAGAAAGAGAGAGAAAAATAAAAATGAAAAGAAAGTTAAAAAGAAATTTGAAAAGAAAGTTAAAAAGAAAGCTGAAAAGAATTTTGCACCACCTTTTTTAAAAATATATATATATATCCACCAGCTAAATTAGAACCAAAACTAAAACTGGCGCTCCTATTATATTTTTCTGCTCACCAGGCCAAAACCTTGCCAAAAATAAAGACGGCAAACTTATTATTAGCCAATTCTAATAAAGGCCAGACCTAAAATAATAACCAGCTCTTCAGGATTTCCTCTTCCGCCTGAATTATTTTGGAAATGTGTTTGCTTTGGCCAGTGATATGTTGGCCAAGAAACAGTTCAGGCGGTTTAACCTTGAATTGAAGACCAAGCTAGGAAACGAAAGCGTGAAGCTTTATTTTATTAATTTAGTTTATTTGGTAGTTTGGAGGTTTCTTTCCCACCGGCATACAGCCACAAGCACAGCTGGATTCACATTAGCCTTAATATTTATGTTTCTCCATCTTTGGACAGCTTGAAGATGGGTGGACTTCAACTCCCAGAATTCCCCAGCCAGCCAGAATTCTGGGAGTTGAAGTCCACCCATCTTCAAGCTGTCCAAAGATGGAGAAACACTATTTTATGCAGCTAACTTCAAAATCATTTCTCCTGGTTCAGCAAAGAGAAAACAAACCCTATAATATTTGGATAATATCTTGCCTGCAGGACGATTTTATTGGCATTAAAAGAATCACCTCCCCACGACTGCACCTTTTTTACCTATTGTGCCCAAAAGGCAAGCAACCTGTTGGCACACGAAATTTGCAGGCTCGGCAATTTCCAGCCTCCCTGGAAGCTGCCAAACTGAACCAACAAATGAAATCATTCCTCAAAGAGGATGTCTTTGGAAGAAACTTAATCTGCCTTTTTAAAACAAAATTCTGAATGGGTGGATTAAAAATGCTCTTTTCATCGGCTGCAGAAACAGGGCGAGTGGAGGCGAAGGCGTCATCATACTCCACCTAGAGATAATTATATTCCGAAATAATGGGCTTCTGCATCACGCGGAGAGGTTGGTCCTCATTTTAGAACCACAATATTTCATTAGCTAAGTCAAAACTTTGACAAAAGTTTGTTTAGTGACCGTTGAAAGTTAAAACAAAGGGGCTGCCGACGTAAGGTTTTCGACACCTACGACCCGTGGCAGCATCGCGGAATCGAAATCCAGACATTTGGCCACTGACTCATGTTTTACGACGGGGTCGTCTGATCCCCCGTTTTGCGACTTCCTGACGAGCAAAATCCATGGGGGAGCCAGATATACTTAACAACTAACTTAACAACTGCAGGGATTCACGTAACAATTGCAGCAGGGAAGGTGGTAAAATGGGGCCAATCTTACTTAGCGACTGTCTTGCTTAGCGGCAGAAATTTGGGGCGCAATTGTGTTTGTAAGGCGAGGGTTACCTGTATAGAAAAACTTAAAGGGGGGGGGGAAACCCTGCCAAGGGAAATTCACATTTCTTTCCACTTTAATTAAACACGCAGGTATAGGGAGGTGTGTGATTTCCTTCTTTTTCTGTCTCTCCCCCCCTCCCCAATTTAGTAAATTTAGCCCCAAATGAGGGCATCCTGACCACATTTTGGAAAGAAAATGTGGCCTGAACACAGAGGTGGGTTCCTACCAGTTCGCACCAGTTCGGTAGAACCGGTTCGTCAAATCTATCGAACCGGTTAGAAGAGGTTCCGCCAGAAAGCAGGCTACACACCTACAGAAGAGGTTCCAAAAATTTTTGAAACCCACCACTGACACACACACACAGACTCACACACTCAAACACACACACACAGACTCACACAGAGAAAGAGAAAGAGAAAGAGAGGAAGAAATAAAGAAAAAAAGAAAAAAGAAAAAGTGAGCGAGAGATGAAAGAAAAAAAGGAAAAAGGGACAGAGAGACAAAAGGAAGGAAGGAAAGAGAGAGAGAGAGAGAGAGAGAGAGAAAGGAAGAAAGAAAAAAAGAAAAAAAGAAAAAAGAAAGAAAAAGTGAGCGAGAGATGAGAGAAAAAAAGGACAGAGAGACAAAAGGAAGGAAGGAAAGAGAGAGAGAGGGAGAGAGAGAAAGAAAGAAAGAAAGAAAGAAAGAAAACAAACACATGGCTGGCAAGCCACTCCCACCAGGTCACATGGCCGGCAAGCCACTCCCACAAAGGAGGCCACACCCACAGAGTAGGGTCGAAAAATTTTTGAAACTCACCACTGCCTGAACAAAACAAAACAAATTAATTGATCACTGTTAATTTTAATTCGAATTCTTTTTTTAAAAAAATGTCACTGTCAATTTTAATTGGGTTTGTTTGGGATATCCTGTTTAATTTCTTTTTAAACTTTTGTATTATGTGTTTCTTTTAATGTTGTAGGCCGCCCTGAGTCCTTGGGAGAAGGGCGGCATATAAATCTAATAAACTTAAACCAAGAAAGCTGGTGACTTTCACTCACATCCAGCGGAGAGAGAAAGTGCTAAAAAATATATATATATGAAAGAACAGTGAGAACTTTTGCCAAATCTTTTTTTAGCAAAGCATGACAACACCACATAACTCAAGAGGGGGGGGTGATGCAAAGTCCTTACGAGCCAAAACAGATGACTTGAGATCAACAGACATTTATATTCCCTCCCTCCCTCCCTCCCCCCCAACTGGGCATGGGATGGTAAGTAGAAAGAAAGGAAGAAAAATAATAAAGGTTTGCAACCTGAATTATGGCTCGAAGGGTGAATCAAGGTGCACTGGGAAATTAAAATAAAAAAACAGAATGTTCTTTCCGTAAAGTGGAGCGGAGAGGAATTGATATCTCTCCTTATTTAGTTTACATTGCACTTTAAAAAAACCCACCCAGTTCCTGATTAGATTAGATCAGTGATGGCAAAGCTTTTTCGCACCGAGTGCCCAAACTAGAATTTCTTTGCATGCGCCAGTGCGGGAAACCCGAAGATCAGCTAAGCCGGCGCACGCCTGCCTGTTTTGGGGGGCATTTTCCGGGCCAAAAATGGACTGAAAATAGCCCGGAAAATGTCCAAAACCCAGGCCATTTGGGGGGCATTTTCTGATTGTTTGGGGGGGGCAAAAAAGGGCTGAAAACAGCCCAGAAATGGCCTGTTTTGGGGGCATTTTTCCAGCCATTTTCTGCTGCGCCAGCACCCATGAAGATCAGCTGGCGACACTCACCACAGGTTTGCCACCACGCTATTATTATTATTATTATTATTATTATTATTATTATTATTATTATTATTATTAATTAAATTTATAGACTGCCCAATCCCGCAGGACTCTTAGATGGTTTAAAGGCATCTAGAACAATATTCTTCAATTTGGCATCTTGTAAGATGTGTGGACTTCAACTCCCAGAATCCCCCACCCGGCCAGTGTTGAATTCTGGGAGTTGAAGTCCGCCAGTCTTAAAAGATGCCAAGGTTGACCAACAGTGTTGCAAATGCCTTTCGGCCTCCCTTCTCCACAGACTTCAAAAACACAAAACACCCAGGACATTTTCCAAACCATCTCTCCTGCCTTTACTGAGCTGAGAAGACAAGCTAAAGATAACCACGTCTCTTGGAAAGGCCTCCATAAATAGCCTCCTTCGGCTGATGCTGGCCTGAACAAAGGGAGGATTGAGAAGATACCTTTCCATGCAAGATAGTCTCAGTTTCCTAAATACTAACCCAACTAATCCATATTTACAACGGTAAAGATCTCTTGTGGATGAAGAGACCACAATCGCGCAGCATCTACAAAGCTTCTCTGGGGCCGCTAGATCTCCAAGGATCCCACAGACAGCTCCGTGCGAGGAGATGCCAGAGGAACACAAGGATCTTGTTGGGGTGGAAGCTCGTTGCGTTAAGCCCAAAACATCCACAAAACGCAACCCCAAAGCGGCAACTCAACAACTTACCAGGACTCTGTCTCCCATTTTGAGTTCCCTTTCGCCTTTCTTCAAGGAGCCAGCTTCCGAAAGGTTGGAAATGGATTCGCTGGTGGTTTTGGAGAGGTTGGTCGCGGGAGAAGCGGGCGTCTCCTTGGTGGCCAGAGGAGACATCTTCTGAGGTATGCCGGTGGGCGGGAGGTGGGCTGCTGCCGAAGGAGAAGACACGAGGCTGGCCGCCGAGGTGGAGGTGGGTGACGTGGCCCGAGAGGCGTGAGACGCCTGGGTCCCGTTGGCTTCATCCTCGGAAACGGCCTTCCGGGTGAGCTTAGAAGGTCTGGTGAAGATGCCCCTCAAGGGCTCACACTGGAAGTATCTCACTCCGGCTACGGAACCGTCGTTCTTGCCAATGGCCTCGTCCAACACGATCCCTGCCCACTGGCCCGGAGCAAACTGGGTTTCCCCCAAGAACTGGATGAAGCCGGGTTTATTCCCGTTGACCCAAATACGCTCCCCGATTCGGAAGTCGTCCACAAACTCATCCGGAGCTTCTGTGGCGGGAGGCTTCTCCGCGGGCGGCGTCTTTTCCGGAGAGGCTGAAACGGAAGGAGAAGTAGAAGGTCAAGGATAGGTCACCCCGTTAACGAGAGCGGGCCTACGCTTACGACATACTGGCCCATAGCGAACCACGGCTTCCCTTAACGGCTGCTGCAAAGCGGGTTATAAAATTGAGTCGGTCATGTGACTGACCCACCTTACAATCTTCTGGCAAGCAAAATCAGCAGGGAAACCAGATTTGCTTAACCTCTGTGATACTCATGTAAACAGCCGCAAGTGATTCACTTAACAACCGTGGCAAGCAAGGTCGTAAAATGGGGCAAAACTCACTGAACAAATGTCTCGCTCGGCGACCGAAATCCCGGGGCTCAATTATTAGCTGTAAAATCGAGGACCAACCACATCACACATGAATTNGGACGAACCGGTAGTGGAATTTAGGCCTGGGTCACAGAACCAGCAATGACGCAGGCCTGCCACGCCCCCAAACCAGTTCCCTTGCCGCCGCTGGGCCGCTGCCATTTTGGTTTTTAGTGACTGCGCATGCGCAGTTCCCTGTAACTTGTTCTGTGCATGTGCAAAATACAATTTACATTGAATAGTGCATACGTGCGTAGCGCACGTCTGGTGTGCATGCAAGCGGATTGCAAACCAGTATTAAACTGGCAGCAACCCACCCCTGAGTAGGACCTAGTTTCTCCTGACATAGAATTATAACATATAGTAATATAGTAATATATAATGACTCTTAAGTAATAAATCAGATCTCACATGTTTTGAAGCCATCAGTATTCTGTGCATAATGGTGGTGGTGGGGGGACACAAGCAAGTTTCTTGCTCTAAGAGCTATTTGTCAGAACAAAAATCAACTAAAAATGCATGATTGTCTACTCTTTTAAAGCTCACCTGGCACTATTTAAAGAAAAATAAAATATATGAATAATATAACAAAAGTGACTAAAAAGAATTTAAACCATGCCTGAATTTCAGAAGCCGAACTCCAGAAACATGACTGGCATTTAATGCTTAGGAAATTTCTTTGTGATCTTTTAGCTGCTAGGACATAATTTTAGAGGAAACAATTAGTACCAAATTTTATGCTAGGATGAAACAGCTCTCCACAGAGTAATATTCTTTGAAAGACATTCACAATATAAATTTTTTGTGCTTTCCTGGGGTTTATCCCCCACATAAGGGTTAGTAGTTTACTTACCCACAAAGCAATTCCCCCCCCCCCATTGGCAATAAACAATTTGCCATGATTATTACTTGATTTTTGCACTGTTGAATCAAAGCTGCTCGTTATATTAATTGCAGGCTGGGCTTAAACTTTGAGGAAAGCAACAATGCAGCATTATACAAATATCCTCAAGTCACAGGTGTGAAGGGATTTCATGCTGAGGGCCATTTTCAGCTTTGGATCAGCATTCCAGGGATAGGACAATATTTAAATGTAATTTAAACTTCAGCCTAATTAAAATAATCAAATGCAATTAATACGATTTTCCTCGTGTGTTTTACAAGGTTTCACTTTTCCCATAGTAAGAATGAGGGTTAGCTCTGGTCTAAAACTCCGAAGAAGGTGTGGTTTTTCATAATATCATGTTAAGATACACTTATGCTCCATCCTTGACTTAGTTGGCTACAAAAGCAAATGTGGGTCCTGTTGAAAGAAATGTCCTTCTGGGTTTGGCTCCAAGTGGGGAAAAAGACACTGGAGACATGGAGGCTGCTTGGAAAGATGGTTTTAATGGTGGACAGGACCACATGGCTTGAGTCATGAACAGAAAAGGTGATCACATGCTTCAATGTTGGTAGAGAAGAGAAGAGAGGGACTGAGATGCCAAGTCCCTGGTTTTATGCCCTCTCTGGCCTTTGATCTTGTTCTTGTATTATGATTGGTTGTCATGGGGCCATGCAGGGGCAACTCTCTAGGCTGCGTTTTGAATCCAGGTTTGGTTGAGCTCTCAGATGCCATGTGGCGAGTTAGATAAAGTGCCAATATTGTCATGCTTTAATCCCAAATCCCCTGGAGCTGAAGTGGAGAACTCTTTATTATGTAAAGGGACTGGCTTGGCTTTCTTAATGGCCCATTGACAAAAGGGGGGGAGGCAGGAAGCCGCAGGAAGTTTCTCTTTAAAACGTTTCTCCCTTTCACATCCAGGGAAATATAATTTTCAACTGCCTTTTCAACATTTCCTAGGATATTTCATTTCTCTGGGAGACGGCTGGGTGATAACTTTCCACAGTCCAAAGTAGCAAGTTCATAGTAGACAGACCTAGTCTTAGAATACAACTTGGATGCTGAACACCTTCAGCCTCTGGTCCAATAAATCATTATGATCAGTGCCAGACAGTTCTTGGCACTTGGAAGTACTCTTTTTGCCCGATAGGCCTGAAAATGCAAAGGAAACTGTCTCTGCCAATGAAAGAACATAAAGGTTGCTCAACACAGTTAAAACATGAAATTAAGTATGGAAACTAACCAGCGGTGAGATTCACTTCACCGGTTTGCAACTGTGAGCACGCGTGTGCACCTCACGTATGCATGAGGCCTTCCACGCATGCGCTTTGTTCACACACGCGGCCTGCACACAGGTGTGCAGGGTCGAAAACGAGGCTACATAGGACGTTTTGTTAAATGAACCAGTCCGAACTGGCTGAATACCACCGCTGAAACTAACACTGCAGATGTCCTGTCTGCACTAGCAAAAGTTACCATTGGATAGGATAGGCTTGCATTTCTCAATCTTGGCCACTTTAACGTCTGTGGACTTCAACTCCCAGAATTCCCCAGCCAGCCAGCCAGTGGCTGGCTGGAGAATTCTGGGAGTTGAAGTCCACACGTCTTCAAACTGCCGTCCTTCAACTTAAGAAACAAAGCATAGCTATTGCTGTTTTGTTACGAAAGACAGGTGCATTCACCATCCCCGCCCACTTTGAAAATGGGCTAATCACACTTATTGAGAACTTGGAAGCCCCTCTCTCCCAGCACTCCTTTTGGCCCCAAAATGTTGTCCTCCACCACCACCCTGACCATTTAAAAAGGGCCAGGCCTAACCTTAAAGACAGAGAGGCCTGTATCTCAGAAAGCAAATATTAGCAACCAGTAGCAGCACCACACCGTCTTGGCTATTCTTCCCGATTTCCTTTTGTGGAGAACATACCTGTGTATCTGCTCCTACGGTTGCCTTTAGCCAATAAGCTTGAACCAGTGCAGTGATTTTATTTTTGTGCATCCCAAAAGTTTGTTGCTGAGTGGAAGCAAGAGAGGGTGGGGGGAGCATTCTGTGTGCCATCGCAAGTGTTAAATACATCAGTTCACACATTTTTCCTTGTAAGACTTCAGTCCCTGATCTTCTAATGCCCCTTATAGCAAGTACTCCCGTTCAGTATATTGGATATGCCCAGTTTAAGGAAAAGAGGACTGGAGGTAACCTGATAACAGTATACCAATATCCAAGGGGCTGCCACAAAAAAGAGGGGTGTCAGCCTAGGGGTGGGATTCAGCCAGTTTGTGCCAATTTGCGTGAAACGGATATTAATTTTACATCCGGTTCGGTGAACCAATAGTTCCGACGACCCCGCCCTTCCCAGGAGTCCCCACGCACCCTGTTCTGGTTCCCAGGTAACTGAAGGGGGGACTCCTAGGCCCAAAATAGGACGCGGGGTGGCACCCCCTTCCCACTGCCCATTTTTGCTCCCAGGAGGCTGCAAGGAGGCTTCCTAGGCCCAAAGGGGGGCACGGGGGTAGAGTGCCACAGGGACCCCTCCACAGCCCATTTTTGCTCCCAAGAGGCTGANGGTATCTGCTTGCATTTCCAACATTTGGTGGACATGGTTTTAAACATCTTTGCTAGCCTTGCTGGAGGCAAATGCCACATATAACATTTTTATACACATTTCCATTGTAGGTGGTTGCCATTGTCAATTTATAATTTCTATCAAAAAAAATTTCCCATATTGTATTCTATTCTATACTGTATTCAATTTTTTTTGCCTACAGTAGCATGGTTTCTTTCACTTGTTCATTTCCATTTTAAGACTTAATAAGTAGCTATAGATTTTCTTTATTAACTTTTCAGGTGTTCCTAGTAGTATCTGATCAAGTGTTGTTGGCTCTTTATAGTAACAATATGTCTTTACATCTTTCCATATCTCAATTGTATTGTGGCCACCATTCAAGGTCCACCCCTTAGTTTTATCATTCCTGTTTGGTTTTAAGTTCCCATTTCTCATTTAAAATATGTTTCTACGTTACAATTTTTTTCCAAATTTACAACGTCTGGATGTATCAGTGCTTCCATTGCAGAAAGCCAGGCTGGTATTTTCATATAATTCTTTGCTTTTTTCTCATATTAGAAGTAGAGCATTCCTTACATAATGAAAGTATCTATATATTTTATTCATTCCATACCACAAAAAGGCATGCCATCCCTATTGAAGATCATGTCCCTCCAACAGTAGCCATCTCTATTTCTGAGATTTATCGATTATTCACCCAAGTCAGTGCTGAGGACTGGTAATAAATCTCCAAATCCATTATTTTGGATTCCTGGAACATTTTCAATCTTATTCTTGGTTTTTTCCTTGCCAGACATATTTCAAAACTATTGCATTTAGTTCATCAAAATATTTTTTCTCTAGTTTTACAAGAATCGTTTGAAGCAGAAAGAATAGCTTTGGCAGGACATTTATTTTTATAGTTGCTATTCTTCTTACTCTTGACAGCTGGAAGTTTTATTTTTTTTCAATTCTCCAAGTCTACTTTTATTTCTCGTATTAGCCTTGCATATTTATTTTCTTTAATTATTGCACCTCAAGCTGTTAAGTAAATTCCCAAATATTTTACTTTCTTAATTACCTGAAGATTTTTAACTATATTTTCCTTTTTTCTTTCTTTATTTATTTTCAGTCCTGCCACTTTTCCAAATTCCTCTATTTATTCCATTAGCCTGGAGCCAGTTTCCAATGGTTCTTCTAGAACGAACACCAGGTCATATGCAAATCCCTATAATTTATATTTTTTCTCTTTTGATTAGCAAACCTTTTGTTTCTGAATCTTGTCTAAAGTTCTATTTAAAACTTCCAATGTTAATATTACTATTCATATCCAATTTACAATTTTTAACAAATCACTTTTTAAGTGGATAAAATGAAATTCATTATTATTTTGAAATAAAATAGCAGACAGTGATTTTGAGCAAAAGGTTTTTCTACTGGGATAGAAGTATCCTAGATATAGTAAAGCAAA